CCTATCCCCTGTGTGCCTTGTCTCCTACGACTAAATGAACAGTGATTTCGCCTACCCTCATCACTATCCAAAGTTCATCGTACGGTCACAATTGCTCAGTAGTATTTCATTTTTCATTTTTTTTTTACAAATCGAAATGATCTGAAATTTAGGATATATATACATCTTAGTTAATTGCACCTAATAAAAATATAAAAAAATATTTCGTGAAAAAATATTGACTAAAATACCCCTGAAACTTTTCAAAGGTATTTTGGTCAACTTTTATCATGTAAAATATTTTTTGATATTTTTCATAAATTCGCTTATTTTTTATGAACACGCATTCCAAATTTCAAATCATTCTGATTTGTAGAAAAAATGAAAAATAAAATACTACCAGACTATATATTTCATACTCAATATGATGGATAATCATATTTAAAAGCTATACGGTCTAATTTTGGTATAGAAAGATGTCTATTATGAAATATGATCGAATATGTGGGTTGAGTAGAAAGTTTAAAACTCATATTGTCTAAATGTTATCAATTGAATGAATGATGTTACTTCTTCTCATATTTATATGGCAATGAATGTGGATAAAAATAATACATATATATAGCACTTGAAACTAGGATATATTATTACACATAAAATGTAAGTTAGTAGAAATCATTAATCCCTAATTTTAGATAGTTTGAATTTCAAACTTGGAATTTCAAACTTGTGAACCATGTCTATCAAGAAAATTGACAAGTCATGCCTAAAGAAATACTCAGTATAATCCACTCAATATATGAAGATCATTAAATTTTAACACGCATAGAATTACGAACTGCTTTATAAACTTTATAGATGATTATTTTAGGTATGGTATATCTTATTATTAGAAAATATGATGCTTTGGAGACACTTGTATAATATAAGGCATATAGTAGAAAATAAATTAGGTAAGGATATAAAAATTTGAAGGGCAAATACATGAGGAAAATACATCTCAGAATTATTTAACCAATTTGTAGAGATTATAGAATAATGTACTAAACAACCTTATTATATACATCACAATAAAAATATGTAGCCAAGAGGCATAATATGACTCTAATTGACATAGTTAGGACATAATTGGCCATGCCAACTTAGCATTAACTTTTTAGGGAGAAGCCATTGGTACAATTATGTTTGTCTTGAATAGAGAGCCAACAAGGCCATGGAATTAACCCTTACAAACTATGAACATGAAGAAAAATTAAATATACAATAAGTTATAATTCACTTGCAATGTGCTCATCCTACATAAAAAAACAGACAAGTTCCATAAGAACAATTAAGTGTTCATTTATGGGATATTATGATAGCTCCAAGGGGTATAGGTTATATGACCATGGTAGTAGAAGCTTAATTGAGAGCATATATGCCTATTTTATAGAAACCTAGATAATGATAAAATAAAATATAAAGAGATTGACATGTTTGAAGAGAAACATAATAAAGATCAAGGTGACACCATGGAACTCATGCGAACAACTAGTGAATTTGACCTCATGGACCACATGTCCAGAGAGCATCCTTTATATTTAGAAGAATATCATGTATTTCCTAATATGGATGAGATAGATGAACCATGTATCAATAATGAAGCAATTAATTCACCTGATTCATTTGAATGAATCAATGACATAGATGATTAAATAATCTCCAGACAATGTGAACTTTTAGATCTGCCCAAAGGCAGAAGACCATAAGATGTAAATGGATCCCTAAAAAAAGGGAAAGTTCATGAACCATTAATAAATATAATAAAGTCGAATTAATAGCTAAAATTTCACTAAAAAAGAAAGAGCTGATCATGAAGAGACATATATTATCTCGTAGCAAAATTTTGCATCCCTTGGGATAATATTAGCACATGTAGCCTATTGTGTCTTAGACAATGGAAATTAAAACAACCGCCTTAAATAGAGTTATCTATATGAAACACCCAGAGGGATATGTGGTTAGGCCAAGAAGAGAATACATATAAAGTAAATAAATAATTTTATGGTAAAAAACAATTATCTAAAAAAAAACCAAATTGATTATGCAGCTAGTAGATTAGACCACTGTGTATATACCTGGAATAGCATGAGCAAACATATAATTTTGTCTTTATTGGCATGTTTGATTATGGAAAGGTGCAGTTTTAAAAACCACAGCTTCCTAAATCATGGGAATGACCTCTTCTCATGCTCCCCTATAGAAAACATTTCCTATTTTTAAGGTAGTGTAGGGTGCCAAAGGATGACATGGCTCGCAGAAAACATGAGGCCGTTCCCTAATCAAATAAGGAAGTTTTACATTATTAAAGAGTGATTATTAAAGAGTGACGGTCTTCAAAACAACATCTTCCAAGGTCAAACGTTCTATATATAGACTATATATTATTAACCGGTAATTATATAACAATAATGGCTTAATTCATATTTTGAAATAAGGGCTACGGGGAGAAATATCACATGTTAAAGGAATAAATATTACAAGGAGCAAATTCTAGGCTTCTCTACTTATCTTAATTAAAATATGTAAAAACTATCCTCCAGAGGATCAAGATGGGAAAAATGCAGACCTATGAAAACCCCAATTCATAAGAGCATGAAGCTATTAAAGAAATAATATTCAATTAGTGATGAGGAAAAGCAAAATTGGAACAAGTTCCACATAATCATGCCATTAGGTCTACTATGTACATCATACTATGTACAAGGCATGACTTTAGCTTGGCAGCTGGATTTGTTAGTAGATTTGAAAGCAATCTTGGTACGACTCATTAACAAGGAATTAAAATAATAATTGGATATATCAAAGGAACTAAACATTATAAATATTGTTTTCAAGAGAATAACATAGAAATTCAAAGATTCTCTGATGCAAAATTGAAAGGAGATCCTGATGATATATATTGGACATATTTTCTTCTTTGAAATATGTTTTATTCGTTGGTTTTATAAGAAATATGGAGGTGTTGTCCGATGAATAATGGAAGCAAAATACTTATTTATAATATTTCCACTTTTTCTACCAGTTGAATAAGTCGCTTTATTAAGGATTTAAAACTTGAAATAATCAATATATTCTGTGACAACCAGGCAATAATTTCAATAATTAAAAGTGGGACAATCAACTATAAGGGAAACACATAGCAGTTGTGATTGATTAAACTGACGAGCCAATTCATATATTTTGTGACAATCAGGTTGTAATTTTATTAATTAAAAATGTGACCATAAAAGTTGACCATCCAAGTAATAATGGAAAAGAAAGAAATAACAATTTGCCTTCTATTAATATGATAATATATCCATAAGTAAGATATGATTGCTAAAACATTCTCCAAGCATGTAAGCATAATGAGATTTGGAGAAATACACAATTTCTTCCAAAAAGGCACTTTAATACTAAAAAATAAAATCATATGGATGGATAAAACACTGTGGTGTGATAATGTCAATGGGTAAATCCAAGTGTGGCTAAACGTTTTGTGACATATATGGCAATTTCATAATGGTAAGAGCATGGGTAAATCAATTTCCAAGCATGTAACGTTTGGTGTTTCCTTTCTACATATTTCTTTTAATAGGATCAAATCAATTTCGACTGAAGATATGAGTCGATAAAGGGTAAATCTCCGATATGACGATATGATAGTATTTGATATGAGTTTAGAAGGTTATTTGATAGGATTAAACATATATAAGTGTATGTGAACAATTGAAGTATACTATACAAGAACTACATTGTTTATAAGGGGTGTTGTGTGGAAACAATTTAGGCTTTTACGACCATGATTGATAAAAAAAATGAGGCTAGGGATCTACCTTTGAAATGGGAAATTTAGGGTTAGATTGAGAAACTATGACATGTCACGAGATTTAGGACCTAAATAGAATGTTCTAAGTTTTTTAGGTGTTTTTTAGTATAGGACTAGGAAGTTATTTTTGAAATTTATGTCAGAGCATCATAGCTCCACATCAATAAGGTGGGCTCAGGTGGTGCTACACTACGACCCCAACCCCAATCCCAACCCCATTCTCACATAACGCATTAAAAAACTGCTAACGATTCAAAAAAAGGGTAGGGGTTCGTCAACCCCACTGAATTACCTAAAAAAAAAATACGAGGGGCTATATATAAATTGAGGTATGGGGCTTTCGTATTTCATTGATGTCATTAACTAGATTGGATACTAATTGATATAGAAAATTTTGAACCAACGACTCATGTTTCATTGATGTCATTAACTAAATTGGATACTAATTGATATAGAAAATTTTGAATCAATGACTCATGTTTCATTAATGTCGTTAAATAGATTGGATACTAATTGATCTAGCAAACTTCAGGACGTTCTTCCAAGAATAATGCGGTAAAATTCAATTCAATGCTAAAAAAGGAGTATGGCATATGTTGTGATGTGTGCCATACAATATGTACTACACGCATGGCTAAATTGGAATTTCATTATTTATTCACTGAGATTAAAGCTAGTGTACAATGTACATAGTTAGTTGATTATAACAGAGGTAAGGTTCTGATGCTTTCCTACTCTATTTCTAAAAAATCTATTTTCACTAAAAAATGGATCTAAAATACAGAGATAGATGCAAATTCAGAAATGAAGAGACTGCTTTTTTTTACCTAAATCTCACATGTTGATAATGCTGATCTCAATAATACTCAATCTAAAGCATTAAGAAAAAGGTTGTAATTAATTGTTGAATATTTCAATTCAATACCAATATATAGGATCATCCCTTCCAAGTCCTATATATGGATTGATTCCTCTTCAACTCCATTTGTCGAAACAAATTCCGTTGAATCTCTGCACCTATTATTTCTTTTGATTCCCGCTATCTAGGAACCCATGTTCTCCAAGATCAGGAATAATGAATGTAAAAAAATTAATTATTTCAATTTTAAAAATGGAGCATTTTAACTTTTTATTAGACTAGTCATTTGAACTCTTTGCATATTACCGGATTTGCAAATTTATTGAGATGCAAAATCATCAACATGAAACAAATGCATGTTTAAATTGCATTTTAAACCCTAGCTCCATCTAGTAGGGGACGAATTTGAAGACACCAAAACTTTTCCCTCGTAATATAAATATATATACATAAGAGGGAAAATAATAAGGTTATTGACCCAAAAATGGGAAAATAATTGGTTGGCACATTGGCATCACCCTCTCCAGTGCAATGTAGTTTAGAGTTAGATTAGGGCCATTAGACGCCTGATAAAAAGTCCCCGTCTCACCGGAAAAATTTCCGGAACTCTTGAATTTGGGAAATACAAATACAAAGCTTCTCCCAAAACCAAAGTAAACGCACAATAGGAAGTACCAGGCTAGATCATCTACCCCAATTTCTAGAGAGAGAGAAACTGCAACTTCACCATGGTCGCAATTGACGACTTCAAGAAAGAAAGAGGCGCATATATTGCAATTGCTGTTGTGAAAAACCTTTTAGACCCGCTCTCCTGATTGGCTTGACCCGCCGATCTCTCATCTCTATTCCACATCTAAACCACTGTTCAGGAAGAAACAAGATCTGCTTTTCTAAAAGAAACCATCCTCTAAATCTTCGTGAGGCACATCCGTGATGTTTATCTTTATAAGAAACTCTCTTCTTTATGATAATCTGGGTTTGGCCTATGCTGGAGGGCTTGTAAATTCTGAGGGAACATAGGGAGGAATTTTAACTTCAGGGGACTATAGCATTTGTCACTAGACTCAGACAAGTAACCATTGTCTCTATTTTCAGTGCTTAGCTAGTTGAGGGAGGGCAAGACCAGACATCCCCTTCCTGTGGAGGAACACTAAACACATGGAAGGTGGATGTTGGAACAAAACCAAGGATGCCTTATTTAAATTCAGCATATTCATGTGGACGCTTGGACCTACAGTGGGTGGGAACCTTCGATGTGGGTGTGTTGGAGAGAAACATTTCTCATCTTCTTATAAATAACATGGTCGATATAAATCTCTAAGTGCTCTCAAAGAACATAAAAATAGACATCTCTGGGATTGTTGATTGTTGAAATAAAATCAAGGAGGACCATTTTGATTAGCCATTTAAAGAAAAGCATTTTGAAAGATCACGCTATCTAATGGGCCATTTAGCAGCATGGGCATTTTGGGACAATATTAAAAAAGGAAAATTTGAGAGAGGACCAAAGGAAGAAATTAATCTAATCTTAGAATTCTTATTTCCCTAGAAATTACATGAGTCTCTGACCTTTAGTCATAGCATCTTACTCAATTCCCAGACATATTCTTGATCCCATTGGCTTACTGGCCTAAGCTATGTAAATAACAAAATTCTAACCCCTAGATTTTAGGCCTCCTTTAGTATGTCATGTATTCTGCGTAAGCCTAACACTTTAAACTAGTGTTTTTAAAACCCACTAATCTGAACCGAACCAGTTCCGAGAAGATATCGGTATTGGATTGTACACTCCCTACCCCCCAAAAAGAAAAGGACCAAAAAAAAATCACTTCAATTTTTTTTTTAAAATATTTTTCTGGATCGCCGATTTGGACCCATTTGGATAGGAGATTCGGAGATCCGGCTATCCCACATGAATATGTGGGGTGGACGACCCACACCACTTATATGGGTTTAAAAACACTACTTCAAAGTTCAAACTAAAGTGTGACAATTCCCTCTTGATCCCTTGTCCCTCCCTTAATTCTCACTTATTCAAACATTTTTCTTCCCTTGACCGTGTCTCTATTATCAAACTTTTCGGCCTCTATACATCCCTACGTATGTCTCCATGTGGTCCAACTTGATGTATACTCCATGTACATAATAAATGCAACTATTCTCATCAAATTAGAAGGAAAGGATGAGGAACCAGATGGAAGTAAGGCATAGATATAAAATCCAGAGTGTTATGCAGGACCATGATGATTTATGTGCTAAGGGCCAAAACAAAAGCCACCGATCTGAATGGGAGCAACATTTTGTCAGCTCTAGCAGTTGTTAAAAGCAACTGCATGAATTTTTTCCTGCATACCATTCAAAGAAATGCCATTCCTTGGAGGCTTCTAGACAATTTAAATAAATTTATCAGCAGATCAGTTCCAATTCGCACTCAATAATCTGATAGATCTATCAGAATACCTTAACTTCCAAGGGTCAGCCATTAAATATGCAAGTAACTTGTAGTTAATTCTAAGACTTAGATGCTCTCTCAACTTTGTTTCCTTCCAGAGTTTATCATAAATGGTTTTTGCTATTGCTCAAAAGACTTAGAGAAGCAGAAGCTAGAGGAGAATACGATTCCTCTATATCTTTAGATTGTACATAATACTAACTTTGGCACACAACACAAATACTCACTCCTGCTATGGCTTTTGTGCTAAAGGAGCATAAAATTAACATCAGAAAGAACATCAACTTTATGTACTATATAATATATTGTAAATCGTTTATAAAGTTTATGATGAGCACAATCATATGTTAAAGATACCAAGAAATATGATGTTTCTGAACAAATAACTACCACTATCAGACATTTGTTAAGAGAATGCTCAACCACAGAAGTTATGACAAATACTCCTAACGTTGCTCAATAGGGCATTGTGCAGGATCTTCCCCAAAATACTGAGCAAGAGAATCCGCACTCCTTCCCTATTTGAAAAATAATAATAACAATAAAATAAAACCAATATATAAAGTTAATTAATGATTATGAAATTACAAACCCTAACTGGAATGCTTTTGAGAGAGAGAAACTCACCACTTCAGAGTACAAGGAAATGAGAGACCTAACATCAGCCTCAGCTGTTTCAAGGAATGTTTTCAAAGCCTGAATAATCAAAGGTAAAGGTTTTTTCACAAAAGATGTAATATATATCGAAGAACAGTTCGAGATGTAATCATTATACCGACCTTCTGGAAGCCCAGTTATATAGCACCATCATTTTCTGAGGCAGTGAGCTCCAGCTCGACCTTTTCAAGACCCTTACTTACTGCTTGCATCTCCTCAGCTAAGGATTTCAATTGGATATAAGAAATTCGCAAAAGAAAAATATGAGAAAGGCAGATCAATGTTCAACATGATTTACACTTTATTGCAAACAACAAAAGCAGAGAGAGAGATTAGTACTAAACATAATAGAGCAACCATTACCGTACATTACATGCTGCTTCCAGATGAACAAGGTTCTTATCAAAAGATTAGTACTTAAGTGAGTAACCATTACCCTACCTTAGATGCCGCTTACAGACGAATAAGTTCCTTATCAAATCTAGCAACTCCGGCATTTGATCAGAAATCATCTAACAAAAACAACCATAAAGGGATGACACCAATCAATCGGAACAGTCAGTATCACAAAACAGATATCGTGCAAAGTAAATATGACTAACTCCAATGAAGAATAAGCCACATGCTTAGATATTACAATTCGCAAATATAGAACCATAAATAACATGACAGCCATCACCGTCCATCCCTTCTCGTATCCATCACCCTTCCTCACTTCTCTTGGGCCACCCCAAGACAGGGTAATGGACCAGCCATGTCCATTATTTTCTTCAAGCACACATATAAGAGGGATGCATATTACCAGTTTCCAATGTGGTATTGCTGATACCACTTAAAACATGCTCACATTCCATATCAACAAGTTGACATATTCTTGTACAATCATGTCAATACACCATATAGCGTGTCGGCAAGTGTGCCCATGGCAATGAGTGGCATACCCAGAACTCAAAAGATATAGTATCTGATTTCTTAATGACGCTAAAAAATCAACGACATGTTCTTTAAAAAAGTAAATTTAAACATTAGGATATCATAGCAAAAGAACATTCCTTAGACACTGCTAAAGCACTACAGCAAACAAGCACATATTGTAACCTAGTGAAGATCATTATCTCAGTTCCCAAGCCTTAAATTTCAGGTCTATATTTCTGATTCACCATACAAAAAGAAGGAACGTGAAATTTCTTTGTTATGACTCACATATAAATGCATCTCAAGGACAGGAAACGACATACGAAATTTAGAAATCTAATAGGCAATAAGATAAGAGAAAATAAACTTAGGTGGGTTGACCATGTACAGCACGGACCAAGTATAGCACCTGTTAGCAGGTGTGAGTTGGTTCAAGTTTAAAGCTCAAAAAGACAAAAGATAGGCTCAAAAGGATATGGTTGGAAGTACTGAGAAAATATATGGGGACTTATGACCTCACTGAGAGTTTGGTCCTTGATAGAGCAGAATGGCGACCAAGATTTGTATAGCCGACCCCAAATAGTTGGGAAAAGGCCTTGATGATGATGACGAGCAAACTTTCCACAAATATACTAGAAACTTAGAACAAAGAGCATCGCCAAGCCTTTGAAGAGATTATCATTATAAATAAAATAAAATTCTAAAATATTAAATGCCACACTAAAAAGTAATATGATGAATATCATGGCTAATTGGTACAATGCATGACTTCATTTAGCCAAAGAAAAGTATCTTAACAATAAGCACCAATTAAAAGAGTCTGCTTTTTGGATTAAAAGCCTGAGGTCTCATGGTAATGTTCAAGAAAACAAAAACTTCTTAAGACCTGGTTAACATGAAATGTTTCTAAACATTTTTATATTATGGGCGTTCAGAATTGTTTTAAAGTCAGCAAAACTATCTTTTTTATATTAATCCAACACAATAGCATAGAGCTAATGCATAAAATTGCTATGATACTACTCACCCCCATTAAATATCCAACTATACACATTTAAGCACACCACAGCAGGAAACTAGATAGAAGACCAAAGCAGCATATTTAAGCACACCAAAGCAGGAAGCTAGATAGAAGACCAAAGCAGCATTAAGCACACCAAAGCAAGAAACTAGGTTGAGAGGCTCTAAGCAGCGCTCTGCCTGAACATACAATATATGAGGCCTTTTATATGCACTGGATTTGAAATCCTGACTCAAACACAAAATAAATTAAAAAAAGAGGCCGATACAGGTTGCCATTTTGTACAGTGAAAAGTAGATGAACAGTGGACAGATGGCCGACATCTACAGTAACAAGTAGATGAGCAGTGGACAGGTGGCCGACATCTAGAGTGAAAATTAGATGCTCCCTTATCTTGAACAGTAATTTGTCCTTATCTTGAACATTAATTTGTCCTTCAATCCGTGTCATAATCTAAGGGTAAGCCATCAGAATTATAACTTGATGAAGAATGGTTGGACGGGATATGTGAGGGTCCAATATAGGTATCATCATTGGAGCTGTCTGTCTGTGCTTCAGCAGGAGGAGGGTGATCAGCAAGCCATATATGCAATTGATGTAGCAGGGCAGCTCCTCGGGGAGTCTCATCATTCCATATTGTTGTTCCTATATAGACATCCAAAGGAATCCATTTTGGCTAGATTTTATTAATGTAGCACATGAGAATTTTTAACTCTTTCCATAGCTCCATTTGAAATAACAAAAAATTCAGGAGATTAGAATCATACCATCCAATGGTCTGAATATGGGGGTGTTGGGTAATGAACGTATGTTCAGGATAAATTTGAGATCTAAGGTCTAAATGAAAGGCTATAATGATATAGGGTCTGTGATAATAACCAAAAGATTCAATCCATTGATTATAATGGTAATGCTTTAAAAGGAATTTGTAAAAGTTGAAAGCTCTGGGATTGGGGTGAATATAGTTATTCCATTGTAGGAAATGACAGTGTTTGAGGTAGGATAATAGTTTCCTTGCATGGAAATTAAAGCAAATATGGTGGTTTTGGGTAAGATACTAGAAAAAACAAAGAGCTTCTCTAGGCATATTATAATAATGTCTGGTCTGAAATAAAGATTAAAAAGGATATGTAGGATGGCAACGAATTCCATGAAAACATTCTCCATGATTTCTGATAAATATTTCATGCATTTTTTGTTGCATAATCTCATTTCTTGCTTCCATTGTCTTGGTGAGTATGATGTCAAATATTTCATCAGGAACATCTTTGGATTCATCATCTATTCTGATTATTGCTCCCAAAGAGGGAACAATTTGAAGAGCAGTATCTTCAGAAAATTTCTTTCGAGAAAACATATCAGCTAAGATATTGTTCTTTCCAGAAATATGTTTATACTCAAAATTCCATTGAGAAAACCAACTTGTCCAACTGAGTAATTGTGGATTTGGAAGTATCTTATTTTTGAATTTGAGCATATTTGGAAAGGCTGACAAATCCATTTCTACAAGAAAAGAATGTCCTATTAGATGAAATTGGAATTTCTCAATTCCTCTTTTACTGCAAGCATTTCTTTAATTGTATAATGGTAATGAAGTTCAGATTCTTTGAATTTTCCACTTTTATATCCGCAAATCATCCTTTCTTTTTCTTTTTCTTCAAGTAAAATACAAGCCCAAAATTTCTCTGAAGCATCTGTTTGCAAAATCCGTTTTCCTGTAGATGGGATTTTCAAAGAGGGTAAATTTTGAGATAGTTTTTTGAGCTCTAGAACACACTCAGTCTGTTTTCTTGTCCATGGTGGTGCTCTTTTCTTTAGTAAAAGATAGAGTGGACTAGTAAAGAGAGAAAGCTTAAGAATAAAAGCGGACATATAATTTACAATTTTTAAAAATTGCGGGATTTGCTTTACAGAAGATAGGATATATGGAAAGTCTAGTACGTGTTTTGCTATATGAGGTTGAAGTTTATACATTCCATTATGGAAGTGTATCCCAAGAAAATCAATTTCTTTAGTAGCAAAGACACATTGTTTTTCAGAGAGCATAATTCCATATTTACAACAGAGGGAATGAATTTTTCTAACAGAAGAATATGACTATCAAGATCAGGGGAGAAGAGGAGTATATCATGTATGTATATCAGCGCCTGTGTTGAGATTGGTTCAAAAATGTTACTTAAAAACTTTTTGAGAATATGTGGGTGCATTTTTCAAACCAAAAGGCATGACTGTCCATTGAAAATGATAATTTGGTAAACAGAAAGCTGTTTTAGGACGATTATCTGGATGAATTCCAATTTGCCAAAAATCCAGGTTTTAAATCAAATTTAGAAAATATGAGTGCGTGAGAAATCTGAGAGAATAGTGCAATTTGATTTGGCCGAGCGAATTTATCATCTGCAAGGAAAGCATTCAAGGGTTGGTAATTGATTACTAACCTAAGTTTTCCTCGAATTTTTTCTGCTCTTTTATTAACATAAACAGCTTCACAAGCCCAAGGAGAACTGGTAGGCTCAATTAACTGTTCCTTTATCAGAACTCTTATTTCTAATTTAGCTTGGTCCAAAAGATCTAAATTTAAACCTCTGTGTGAAGCCTTTGTGGGATTTATGTCCTCATTTTTCTTAAAAGGTAATTTAACATAAAAATTCTGGTTTCTCCAAGTGGGTTGGTACATTTTTTAAGAAACTCGGAGTGGGAATTGGCACAGCAGTCTGACAAGATTCTCTGTTGAATGGTTTCCAGGGAGTGAGGTTGATCTATACAAGCTATCGAAGGTAGGGTTAGGTTTCTATAATGTAGTCCTTTGGAGGTCCATTAAAGTTTTCTTTGGTGTAAAACATCAAATCCAAGTAAAAGTTCTTTATTGGGTAAATAGGATCCTAATAATTTGTGTTGGATAACTAGTTTTGGAAAAAGTTTTATCAAAATGGGTTTGCTAATCTGGTTTATGGTAAATTTCTCTCCATTAGCAACCCGAAAAGTTTGTTACATGTTTCCCAAAACTGTTTTGGTAGCAAATCTGGTTTTAAGATACTAGCTGATGCTCCTGTATAAAAAAATGCTGGTATGATCAAGCGTTTTGAATAGTATTCTTGTAATATTTGGACTAGGGCTATTGGGGTAGGCTGGAAGGGTAAACTGTTATGTCTGTAATATTTTCCTGTGGGGACAATATCTCTGAGTTCTGTGTGTTGCTTATCTCATTTACCGCATTGTCTTCAGAGTATGCAATGGATTATAATGTTTCAGGACTTTGTTCTTCATCAAGAGAAAACACATATTCTAGATCATCATCAATTTCTTCATCTAAAACTTGTGACAAGAGATGGATTATCTTTTTTTTCTTTTTCTGATTAGGACAATCTCTTGCAAAATGTCCTTTTTTGCCATACACATAACATCTGTCTCCTTTTTTGTGTCTGAAACCTCGAAATCTTGACCTTCGAAGATATTTGAACCTTTTAAATTTCTTCTTTCTTCTTCTCTGTTCAAGCTTCTGGTATCCTTTCGAAGTAATTGGACATGCGTACTGTTTTTCTGAATTACATTTGATCTTGAGATATGGTTTATCGC